AGTACTTTATTGCAGCATAAGATGTACCAGGAATTGCTTTGAAGACAGGCTTGATAGCACTGCAACTTGTGTTCCAGAATGGCAGTAAAGTTGCCACTTTTTAAATATGCCTTGAAGAACATCCATGGATGTGATATTACGCAGTCATTGTAAACATGTTTTTGAGTAAGATATAATGATATGGAAAAATGTTCATGGTATAAGTAAAATGGGTGGATTACAAAACTGCAAGTACAACCTAATCTTGCATAAGTATTTTTAAAATATAGAAATATGCCAAAATGTCAAGGGTTTGTTTTCTCAAAATGGTGGAATTCAGGGTGATTTTAATTATTATTTTATGCTTTTTTATATTTTCTAAATTTTCTATGATAAGCACACAATTTCTTCAATTGAAAAAAGTTAGTATTTCCAGAGTTACTTTGAATGGGTAGGTGTTATGACATGACACAAACTGCAGAAAAATAAAGCCTCAACAAGCAGCTGACATCTCATTCCGTGGAGACTTTCAGTCCAAGGATGACAAGCATCTTCAAAGACTATGGTCAAAGCAATGGCCTGGGCCCCAGGCGGACACTCTAGGGACTCCACCTGGGCCTCCACCTCTCCTGGCACATCAGACTGTCCCTGTCAGGACCTTTACACTGTCCTTTTTACCCACACTGGTTCTGCAGGTGGTTCCCTCACCCTTCACACTGCCCTTCCTCATGCTGGCCTCTTAACCTGGGGTCATTCCTTTGCCTAACCTGTCAGTTGAAACTTCTTTTAAAAATTCAATACAAAAATGGGAGTTTTTGTTTAATGAGCACAGAATTGCATGTTTGTTAGATTAAAAAGTTCTGGAGATCTATTTCAGGACAACGTAAATATTGAACTACTGAACTGCATACTTAAAAATGGTTAAGATGGTAAATGTTATGTGTTTTTTTTAACCATCATTTTTAAAAAAAGGAACAGAAATTCGGTACAAAGAGCTCCCACACAAGAGAATAAACCTAGCGGACCTGAACACATCTGGCTGAGTTCCTGAGGTCACTGAAGGGATCGGTGTATGCCACCACAAAATACGCCACTTTGGCATAAGCATTATTTTGAGCTAAAGGCAATTAAGAAACAGCAGACACAGGAAAAACTCTCTGCCCTCTCTCTTTCTGCCTAAAAACAGGGTGTAAATTTCTTTTTGTGAAGGCAACATAAATTTCCCGTTTGTAAAGGTGTCTCCCTCTCCTGTACCAGCAAAAGGAGGAAGAGAATGAACTCCTTTCACCAGAGATGTAACTGGCTTCAGTCTGCATAACAAGCCTTATTGTCTTAATCTGTTCAGGATGGTGTAAGACAATATCACAGACTGGGGAGCTTATAAACCATAGAAATTTATTTCTCACAGTCTGGAGACTGGGAAGTCCAGGGTCAAGGCGCCAGCATGGTCGTCTGGTGAGGGGCCCCCTCCTGGTTCAGAGCCAGTGACTTCTCGCTGTGTCCTCACGTGGTAGAAGAGCCGAGGGATTTCTCTGGACCTCTAGAAGAGCATGAATCCCATTCATGAGGGCTCCACCTCATGAACTACACCTCCCAGAGACCCCACCTCCTAATTCTATCATCTTCGGGGGTTAGGATTAACATGAATTTTGGGGAGACAAACATTCAAACCAAAGCCTTTACTAAACAACCCTTCTCTACCACACATTTCCTAGTCACCTTCCCAAGATGTATCACCCCAATAGCCCACCCCATCTTTGTCTAAGCAACTCTCCACAATTTTTAGGCCCTTTGTTAAAATGGTATATAAGTTCCCAGCTCTAATTGCTTCTTTAGGTTTTCACTTATTTTCTGTGTAGCCCTGTGTGCTTGTGAAATAACCTCTTCTCCTATTAATCTGTCTTTTGTCAGTTTAATTCACAGACCTCAAACACAATTCCTAACAGTATAGAGGAAATTTTTTTCTCTCCTACATTAATTACCTTTATGACCCCTGTGTTGTGGCAGTGGTGTACCTGTACACTAACACATGGAGGAGATGAATTTTTAGTAGCCCCACCCTTCTCAATATGACCAGATTATTTTCAGTTATTTCATGAAATGAAGCAAGAAGAAATGCAGATGGTGAGAATTTTCATTTACTGATTTCATCTATATAATTATATCTATATATAAATATAAATATATATTTATATAAATATATATCTATATAAAATATAAATAAATTATGCAAAATAAATCATACATATTTATAGTACAGAAAGAGAAAAAACAACTATGTCTTCAAAGGTTTTTCTCTCTAACAATTTGACTGCAGATCCCTTGGTTACAGCCTGCTATGATAATATTTCATGTAAATAAATGTCCAGCGACAGAGCTTAGGACACACGCTACCCAAAATATGGCACCTTGTATACTGAATACTTTAAGCTGAAGGAATCTGAGACACAGTATATGCAGGAAGAGCCTTCTGATCTTTTCCTGAAGCATGTCATAAAACCTAGGAAGGGCTTTCTGATCTTCCCCTGACGCAGGTCATAAAACCCTCACATGAAAGCTGCCCCCCATACACCCACCCATAGGGGAAGGAGCACCCTTATCTCCAAGACACCAAGAGGAATTTGCACAAACAAGGCCTGCTGTTTCCCCCAGTTTACTACTCTTAGTTCATATCCTTTTTTGTCTTATCATATTTTTTTCATGGACTTTCCACTCTTCATCAAAACTAGCATAAAAACAACTCAGGTTTAACTGTTTCTTCAAGTCTTCATTTCCTTTTGAAGGCTCCCATGTCATGTTAAACTTACATGACATAAATGTGTATGCTTTTATCTGTCTTTTGTTATAGGAGACCACTTAGGGGGAAAAGATACTTTCCCTTCCCTACATCAGCAATTAATAACTGAATTTTAATATAACTGCTTTGTCTGCACAAGGTACAGTTTAGGCAACTATTGAATCATATCATTGCTCTAATTCTTTTACTTCTTAATCAGTCTCTTATTTTAAAATAAACCATTTTTAAATGATTTTCAATTTTAAAAATATTATCCATATTCATTAAAAAAAATCATCTGTGGATGAAAATTGACATTTGCCAAACAAAAAATAGCTCATGTTGCAGCTTTTCCTTGTTTCAGTGTTTTACATTCTAAATATAACCCAAAACTCCAAGAGGTGGCATGGAGTACAGAAGGTGAAATGACTTAGGTTCTGTTTCTTCATCTTTATTGAGGTGCCATTGCTGCGCATTTCCAACCTGTTGTTTTAATACAGGCATATGCGGTATCTCAGTGGGGAAACATACTGTACCAGTGATTTGGAATCATTACCAACTTAATCTCAAAAGCAAGCAAAACTGAGTCCACGCATGGCACTGGGGCCACACTAAGGGAGTTTTTCAATTAACTTCCATGTAAACAATATAGTCTACTAAAGAACAAGGAACAAAAATTAAAATAAAAATAAGTAATTAACTTTCATTTAAAACACATTGTAAAATAAAGTGCATGTGAAATATAAAACTCCAACTCACAGTAATCAAAGCAATTGTTTAGAACGAAGCCCACAAAGGATTTTTTTGATGGGAGGATTGTTTTATCACTGACCTTGTTTAGAATTGCTGGCGCATTGTGATCACACAAAAAGCAGAAGGACTTCAGTTGGCTTTATTATTGTTTTTAAATTCCCTACACGGTACACTCCCTTATCGCCTGCACCTGGACAGATGGCTCCCCATTGCACCTTCTTGGTACACCACTGTTCATAATTAAGCTAGTTAAAGTTGATTTTGTTAATTTAATCATATTTTATAATGCATTCGGGTTTTACTAGGAAAACATAGAGGATTCACTTTTTAAAATAGGTGAGGGGGATAAAAAGGCACAAAACCTCAGTTACATATATGTTAGTCCTAAGATTGTACATCAATGATACTTTAAAAGGATACACAGCGAAAAAAAAAAAAAAAAGGAAGAAATGCAGTTCCTAAATGTGTTGTCTCACTCCAAAAATGATTATATATATATAAAAGTTAGCCACAGGGATGAAAGAACAGCAGAGAATATAGTCAATAATATTGTCATATTTATATTGGCAGATAGTAAACTTGTTGGGATGAACATTTAATAATGGAGATAATCATAGTAATCACACTTATGGGGGTGAGCATTTAATAATGCAGATAATCGCTGAATCAGTATATTGTACACCTGAAATCAATATAATATTGTATATCAACTATACTTCAATAAAAAAATATTTCAAAAGCTTCAAACCTAAAATTGTGAAATAAATGTGATTGCCCAATTGTTACCAGCTCTGTGCACTCAAGTTTCCTACACTGAAGAAAGTTAACAGGAAAAGATTTTTATAGGGACACAAAGGTCTAAAAGGGCAAATTCCTGGACGGCCCAGCAAGATGTCGTCGGAGGGAGGGGGGCAGAGGAGAAAGGTGTGGGACTGCGAAGCAATGCCCTGCCAAAAGTGGGCGGGCGGGAGGGTCCTGGGGGCAGCCACTTCTCGGCCTCCTCCGACTGTATCCATTTGTGATGCAGGCCCATTGTGACCCAGATCTGTCCATTTTTTCCTTGGGGAAACAATAATCTGAATGGCTGTGTAAGATCTCCTGATTTTTAAATGATGGAAATTAATTCAAACTCCAGGAAACACAGCTCAATGCAAACAAATCACAGCTGTGGCTGCAATACGCCCCCGGGCCACCAATTTCTTACTGAAAAATCCAAGGAGTGGTTAAATCTGTTAAAGTTGAGAGAATATGCTCTCTTCTCCAATCCTTTTTCTTTCCCTAAATGTGACATTTTAGAAAAATCCAAATACTTACATCATATCCATAATCTGCAGTTTAACGAGAAAAGTAGTGCAATTAGGGCAAATCATTGGGAGTGGCCTGAACTCCCAGAACAGTCCTTTCTCTTGAATCTGAACCAACTATGGTGTCACCCAGATGTCTGTTGACTAAGTGATACACAACAGATTTATTTAACCACTGGCAACCCACATTTCTTTTTCCAAGGCAGCAAGTTAAAAGATTATTTACCTCCCTTGGTTACAAGAAGAGGAAATACTTTTTTCAAGACTCAGGGTAGCTGCAACCAGTTCTCCCACAAAAATTATTAACCATCAAGATTCAGAGCACAGAGCCCTGAAGCCTTTCCTGCACGCTTCCCTGCAGCTGCGCAGCATAGGCACCTTCTGAAAGGTGAGTGTTTACTTTGCCCTCTGAAAGCTTCAGGCCCTGAGTATCTGAGATTTGCAGGGAAGAAAATCAACCTAAATCCTTGTATGTAGCTTTCATTTGGTTTGGCATTTGGCATATTAAAAGAGAAGGTTTATTCAAATTAGAGATAACAATAGGAGTCTGTCCCCACATTTCCGCAGGTCATTAGAGCTTTGTGTATCTGAATTAAAAAGATGTATAGCTAAATCCTCTAACAGACTTCCTGAGTACCCTCATGTCAGTTCCTGCAGTGGCCCTACAGGATTAACAACAAGACCTCGGAGAAGGCTTTGTCTTCAGTGGCCTTTGGGAATTCTTTGGTTTAGGTGGTTGGAGAGCTGCCCTGTATGGTAAGGTTGGCAAGGCCCCTCAGTGTGACCCCCCCAGAGCCACGAAGTCTGTGACTGAGTCCATTTCAGTGCCTAGGAAAAGCGTGCCATGGTTCCCGCTTCACTGTTCAACCCAATTTACGGCTCCGAAGTCTAATCTCTGACCCTTCCTACCGTGAAGAAACAAGCCTAAGAAGGGCCAGTAGAACAAGAGGAAAACAACTGAAAAGAAGTGAAGTCTTTCTGTTTTTCACAGAGCAGCTTCTTAAAAGAAAATGTCCACTTATATCGTGTTAGGTGTTTTCCAGTGGTTATGTTCCACTGGAAAATTAAGTGGCTTAATTTTTAAAAAAAAACAATAACAGAAAGATCAGTAATGATTAACAAAAATCAGTATGACCCTATCATATTCTTCCAAATGTCTATTTCTGATCTTTCTATCATCAGAGCATTTAGGTGTCTGGGGCAAGTTTGCTTCAAGGAAAGAATAACAATATCCTTGACCATAGCAAAAGATGGAGGTCAAAATGCTGACTCCAATTTTTTCAGGTGGATTTGGGGTCGGGAGGGGTGATGACCATCGTAAAATTGTCCATTCCACTCTATTAGGACTTCACTGGCTTGACACAAAATTCCTCCTCTAAAATGCACCTCTTCCAAAGAACAGATCCAATAGTTAAATTTTAAGCATCAGTGCAGAGAAGCTATTTCTAGGGTAAGAGATATCCTGTTCCCCAAAACAATATGATAGAGGCACTGTTATCTTCTCGTTTGAGCCCAGTTGAACCTACAGACCTGCTCATGCACATATACGCCTCTTGAGAGACCCTTTGAAATCCAGACCACAAGAGGCTTCAGGGAACTTGCAGAGATGTAGAAAGTGGTGGAACGATCTTAAATCCTTTTACCTGGCAGAAGTTATTCCTGCCTCTTCCTCCCATTCACTCAATTCTGGAAACATCTGTTCTTATAGACAGATTAATGGTGAAGTCTCTACAGACAGGAGTTTGGAGTCAGAATGCCTGGAACTGAACCCCAACTCTGCAACTGACAGTAGAGGCTCTTTTGAAAGATCTCCAACGAACTAACTCACCAGCTTAACCAGTGCGCCCAACAGCCTGGCTGATGTCCAGTTGCACCTATTGAATATCTGGGGTGGCAGGTAAGTTATCGCTAGCACATCTGAGCACTTCAGCTTCAACTGCTTTTGAATAATGGATCAACGAGATGGCATGCCTTAGAATGTGTGAGAGGAGTTCCTCAAATGCCTGGCAAACTGTAGGGCTCATTAGCCTAGATTTTGTTTACTGTTCTTGAGTTTTTTGGACCAGTTTCAAAGCTAAGTAAGCATATGTTTCAATTCTGTTGATTCCGAGGGTAGCTAAAACATAAAAATGAAATGCTTACACTTTCCTGGGTTTATGTTATGCACTAGACTTGGTACATAGTAAGTGCTTGTTAAACGTCATGTCTTCTTTCTCTATCCTTTGCTGCTCAGTGCTTCCCGCTCTACCACCAAAAAATCAACTCAAAACCATGTAACTGAACTAACTGAAATTCTCTCCAGAATGTCTTGTGGATGAAATTGCTTTTGTGATTATAGAAGACAGCATCTAACTATTAAATACTAATATTATTGACGCAGAGAACTGGTGACTCGAGGAGAGTCTCCGGCAGAGAGCCCCACTACTCCCTCCTCAATGACCACATCTACACTCAGGTAACACTGCAAATATGCCAGAATGAGCACTGGTGGGTATTTCTGTGGAACAAAGGGATTGAGCAGATACGGGAGAAGTACTCCTTCTAGGTTGAGGGATATTTGTCGTTTGAAAAGCATACCCACCCCATCCCCCAAGGTCATTCTGGTACGTTCCCACCCCATCCTCACCCCCTATAGTGAGGATTATGCTTTAGATTTTGTAGACTTGGTCTTGCAGGGCAAGAACAATGATTTTCCTTCTGCCTTTCATTGTTCTTGGCTAAAACCGTTCTGTAAAAAAGATTAACAATAGAAGAAAAGAACGATTTTAATTCCGTACATATAGTGCTCCACAAAGGAGGCTCAAAAGGTGGCCGGAAGACTGAGAACTATATACCATCCTAAACTAAGAAAAGAGATTACAGCTCTAGGGCATAAGCGGGGAAGGCAATTCACTGGAAGGTGAGGAACTGTTTGGTAAACAAAGATGGCCCTGCCAGGCACCTAAATATCCCAGGTGAAAAAGTTCTCTCCGGTACTAACTCACTTCCTGATACAGGTCTCCTTTCAAATGTAAATATACTTTATAAATGTAGATTTCTTTTACAAAAGGGGTAACTTCTGCTTTTAGAGTTTCTTTAGTGCCTAAAGTTTCTTAAAAATATTCAGTTCAAAATAATCCTTAAGCCACCTTTAGGGTGGCACATTCCCCCCCTTCAGTCTTTCACAACAGTCAAATACAAAATCATGTGCTTCTCTGGGATTCCACTGACCAGCGTTCAATTAGCAGCCTAACAATGTTTTATGACCTAATAATGTTCAATTTCCAATTATCACATGGTCAACTTGATGTTAGACCTTACAAAAATCAAGTTAGTTCTGCAGAGGGAAGTTAACCATATCAAGGCATGCTTACCTTTAAATTCTTCATTTCTCATCCTGTGAATGTCTGAATTCTGAGTCCTGCCTCAGGTACACAGATGTGCCCACATCTGCCTGGAGCACAAATGAGAGGAGGAATAAAAATCAAGCCTGTAATTTCCTCAGAGCCTGGAAAATTCCCTCTCAACCTCCCTAAGTAAAGAAATCAAAACTGAAAGACATACTTAAGTAATATGTGATTCAATTCTTCACTATCAGAAATATGCTGAAATGCAGTAAAAGAAATGTCTGTCCTAATGAGCCCTACAGTTTGCTGTGCAATTGAAGAGCTCTCCTTTCACATTCTAAAGGTTCTTTTCATTCCACCCTTGGAATGAAATTTAACTTGACTTTTCATAAGCAAAAAGCCCACCCAAACAAAGGAGGGGTTGGTGCCTCCCACTTCGCGGCTTTTTTCAGCCTGTAGCACCGCAGGCAATAACAGTGATTTCCATTCAAAAAACAAACCTCAGTTACACTCACGTGCATGCTGTGCAAAAGAATTAATTTGTGCAGTATGTTCGCTGCTTACTTTTCTCCTGGAATATATGATGAATTTTTATGGAGGGTGGTGGAGGAAGGGAAGAACCACATTCAAATGAAACCCAACATCATTCTCCTCTACAGTGTCATTTCAAAAGCCAGACAAAAGCCAAAAGTGGAGGCTGGGAAAAGAGTGTACCACGAAGCCGCTCTGAAAACCACCCTCCATTTCATTCTGAAGCGGAAAGGTTACTCCCAGACATCACAATAGCTCCTCTCCTGACAGTAAATTAACTGGTAAGTGCTTTCTTATTTGTTTTCCTCAAACTGACACATTTGCAGCTGACCTGATGAGGATTCCTGCAGATGATTTATTTACAGAACAGAATTGTTACTAACTACCAACTGGCCAAAAAGAAAAAGGACTCCTGATAGTTTACAAAAAGCTCTGTGTGCAAATTCATATTTTTGGTCCTGCCAAAAACATTCAGAAAGGATTATAACAGGGTTTGCCACGGCTGCTGATTAAATCTAAAACACCGAGAGAACAGAAGGAATTGCTGGGGTGGGTGAGTGGGAGGGCACAAAGAACTTTCAGTAATTTCCTCAGCTTTTACCTAGAAAATTATAGCTCATAAATGTGGATTTTAAGTGGCTATGACTCAGAATATAATCAAATAATCAAATATCCTTTGTGGAAAGCCCACTGTAGAGAAATCTAGTAGGAGAAAATGGTACTCTGAGATGAAAATGGATTTTGCCCTCTTTAGATTACAAGGTAGGAAAAAGTTCTGAATTGAGTTATATAATGTGGTTCGGTTGTTTTTTCCTCTTTTTAAGATGAATAGCTGGTGGTTCTTCAAAACAAACATTTCTTTTTTGTTGCTGCCTTTTTGAAATCTCATAATCAATTGCCTGTTAGAATAATTGGTACTTGGGCTCTCCTAATGAAGTACAAATGGCTAAACGCAGGGAAGCAGCTGGGAGAAAAGGTTCAGCTCATGCAATTGCTCCTTTGGTAGTCGGGTACCTGTGAGCACCTATTGCTTTTTGCCTGATGGTTTATCCTTCCTCCAAATGAAAGCTAATGAAAATGAAATGAAGGGTTGATAAAAACTTTTCATAAGCAATTACTCTCCTAAATTGGCCCTTTTCACTTGAGCTCATTCCCCAGGTTTCCACAAACTTGTTGCTAAATTAATCCTGTAGTATTTTTTGTCTTGTAGGGGGTAAAAGGCCAAAGGACCTTTCTCGAGGTCTCAAATTACCTAGTTCAAGTAATTCCTCTTACTGAGTAAACCTCATCAGGCTGCACATCTTCCAGACACGAAATGGTTTTTAAGTGTTTTCATGGTGTTTATGATTTTACTGAGACTTAAGTCATTTAGTTTATAAAAAATGTATATTTTCTGTTTCATTACCACTAATTGTCATCTTGAGATGTATAACCCAATATTCCATTTTCAAAGGGTACAGCACTTGGAGCTAGCCTAGGAAGTAACTTTAAAAGGAAAAAAGCCTTATGTTCAAAGATTTTTCTTCCAAATTATTTATAATTTTAAAAAAATCAAGAGAAATCTAAATATTCAACAGTAAGAGTCTAGTTAGGGAACTTCTTAGATATCAGCTCAATGAAATATTTTGCAGTCAATAGGAAATCATAATTTGGAGAGTTGTGTAGCATCATGGATAGATGCTTATAATGTCAACAATGATTATATTTATGTGAAAAGTAAATGAAGAAAATTTACAAAACTGAAAATAGCTGAGTTAAGCTGGTAGTGAGCTTATGGTGTGCTACTTGTGTGTAAGGAAGGAAAATTTTTTCCTCCACCCTCTTAGGTTGTGTTCTGGAAGGCCTGTGAGTTAAACTGACAAAAGACACATTAGCAAGAGAAAACACAAAATTTAGTCACATATTTTTATTAGCATACATAGGGGAGGTCACAGAATAATGTGACTCAAAGGGATGGGTAGAATTTGAGGTTTTTACACCATGCTGGCTGATAAAGGGAAGGGGGAAAGGGCCATTACTGGAAAACAACTAACTTCTGAAGGGGAAGGGGAGAATGGGTTCTTACTGGGAAAACAAATGGCTTTTTAGAAAGACAAATGGGCTCTTAGGAGAATAAAAGGACAACATGGTAGTTTTTATGTTAACATCTGTTTAACTGTCGTATGTAGACTTCTCATCTGTGATATGAGTCAGTCTTCCCTGGTTGCTCCTTTGGGAGAGGATATATGACAACTGAGTTCTTTTGGGACCTCAAATGCCTCTGCTCAAAATTTTTAGGCGGATAAGATATCAGGAACTCAGGTGCTTTTGTTCAAAATAAGTTTCGTGCCACAGTAGAATATGCTGGTTCCCTTCAGGTGATACATCCCTACTTTTTTCCCCCTAACTTTCTCTAGTATTTCATTACTTTTGTAATTTAAAAACCTTATAATATTGAAAATTCCCATCTACTTTTTTCAAGTCACTACTTTCAATAGTTAAACCCTTCAGTCTTGTGGGGGCTCCTTAGTTCTAATTCACCTGCCTTCTTTGGTGGCATTAACTTTAGGTAAGGTTTCTGCCTCATAAAACTCTTAATGAAAGGAGAAAAGGCCAAGAGCACAATAAAAACTGATAGCATAAATATTTAAAAGGTGGAAAAACATAACTAGTTAGATGAAGATTACTAACCTAGCATTCTCTTAAATTGGACAGTTTCCAAATACGCCTCATATCTATGATTGTACGATATCTTTATACTTGTTATTTTGATTTTTCCTGTCACCCCAAAGCTCCAATCCTAACTCTGTCCCTAACTTGTTTCTAATATAGCTTGAGGCAGAGCAATCTCTCTGGACCTCACTTTCCTCTAAAATAAGTCTAATGCGCTAGGTTCCTTCCAGCAATCCAACCCCTTCCCCCCTTTTTAACCTCTGCTGGTTAAGTCATTGCTCTGTGTGATGTGTGTAATGGGTACTTAGCACATATAGTGGGTACCTAATAAATATTGGTGAGAAAGTCTCTTACTCAGATTCTCTTCTTTAATATTCTTCAATTATCACAGTATGTTCCAAGTATTCCATTAATGAGCAAATAATTGGAAAAGTGCCCATCATTGTTAAAGAAAATGTGTCCGTAGGAACAAAGTATACATGATTCAAGTACAAATTTTTTGCTAGAAATTATACAGTCCTCCTTCCATTCAAGTGAAGATATTGGGCAGGGATTAAATGGGTGAGGTGGTGGGGAGGGAGGGGGCTCTATTTTTGTCTGTGGAAGAATTTCTCTTTTAAGCAAACTGACTTAAGGGAGAGCCAATCATCCACCCTTGATCTCTTTGGCACCTTGTTCAGCAGACACAGCCGACTAGCCCACGTGAACTTGAGTGTATGAGACACTGCATACAACAACGCTCTATAAGAGGCATGCTAATAAAGACTTGGTTTGTGATAAAGGAATTTATCAAATCAAATAAATAAGCTATGTCAGGGCTTTTTGAATGGTTTAACTTTTATATTGTGTTCTTTTACTCTCAGTTTTCACCTGCATGTTCAGGCAAAGGAAAATGAAAGTTGGAAATTTTGGTTATTTATTTGGGAGTCTGCTATGTTCCATTTTTGGGGGGAGAAGGGTGGTTATTTGTTTACCATGAACTAAGAGAGGCCACCTGTCCATGTCACATGCAGTCAAGCAAATATTGACTGAACTCTCAGCTGGTGTGATAGAAGACACAAATATTTTAATGGAAAGATCTCACCTTGGTAAGCTTCGAGTTAGTTGTGCTGCCAGGCAGACAGAGTTAAGTTGTTAAACTAAAAAGTTTTAAAAGTGTGTCCTACCTACAGAATAGAGGTCAGAAAAGGGGGGATGAATGAGAAAGGAAGTGTGCAAGTTAACAGAGGAGGTGAGGCAGAGAAGTGGGTACTGGTGTCGTCCCTCATGAGTTAAAATGAGATGAAAGAATTTGGATTTGATGAGCAACTGATGGGGTGAACCCACCAGAAGTCTTCCTTGGCTTGAGGAGCCTTGTGGAAGCCTGGGCCTGTAGAAGAACTTGCTAGAAAAGAGGAGCCCAGAACAGCCTTTGACCTCTGAGAGGGAGGGGTGGGTAAGAATGCAGCGTGCAAGTGAAATGTGGAATTGTTTCCCCTAAAACATCAGTGCACGAGCAGCCCTATTTTGGGTCTCCTCTAACAAAAAAAATATAATGGAAGCCAATTCTTCAACCCACTACTCTCATTTCATCCCAAAGCTCATCCCAGCTTCAACAGGACAATGTAGCCCAGGTGCTCCGGTGGTGCACCTGATAGAGGCTTGGTGCCCTAAGAGGAGCAAACTTATATACAGACACATGTAATTCATCCTTGGAGGCCCAGAAATACTTTATTAACAAACTCTTCTCAAATGTGGTAGTAGGCAAACAGAGTGGGTACTGCATCAGCCAGTGGGGGCACCCCAGTGATTCCTAAATTAAAACTCTAAATACTGCATGATTTGTGTCCACTGCCACCTGGGGGAATTTTAATATTACAATAGAAATACATTTATATAGCACTTTACATTTTTTGCTGTGCAATTTTCAACACCACTGCTGGCCACTTTTCTCTAGAAATCCACGTCTAACTGAACTCCGCCATGGAGGTTCTCACTTTGGTCCTGGAAACCTGTAATACCAGTGTTGCTCATCTACATACAGTATTCCAGAATTTAACCAATTCCAATAATACAGCTGCACTCAAAGGAGGCAAACCCCATCCGGGACCAGGAAATTCCCAAGTGGACTTTATTTTGAGCCTAGTTTTTAAGTTGAAAACTGGAATAGGAAAAGAATTCAGGCCCACCAGTGGGTTAGGTGGACATTCTTAAAACCAAACACCAGAGGCCTCGGCATCCCTGGCAAAAAGGCATTTTCTGGATGACAAGGGTCCAAGTAAGGTGAAGCCAAGAAAGTTATTCATTTCATAGAGTTTAACACAAAGAATTCAGTAAGGAGAGGTCATAGTCTTATCTCAGGAATCATGCAGAAGCAAAGTAGATCTCATGTGTGCTTTAAGTGGCTTCCAGGGTTACTCTCTGAGGTCCTAGTTCTGTGTTTCTCTTTATGCAAAAAAGAAAAAAGGTATTAAAGAAATGTCCATGGTCAACCCAGTTAATCATGCTTTATGTCATCGGTTGCCATAGATATCTATTCAACAGAAAGTGATCATTGCAAACACATGAAATAGCATTACACAAGTGTTTGAGGAACACTAGGGGGTGCATCAGGGCTTGGGATAAAGGCAGAGTTTGTACTGAAAAGGGA